CACCCCAAAATTTTTTTTTTATTTTTTGGACAAAATTTTCTGTTTTTATTTTTTCATGATTCAGCATTGAAAAATACATACAGTTCTAAATTTTCACCCTTATACGATTTTTATATTATTTTGTTCCATCCACAGTTCCACAAGATGGCAAGACAACGTTTGCCGGGTCAGCTAGTATGTGTATAAAAGCATAATAGTTTTTTAATTACGTGCAACGTCTCTACATTATAATCACAATTTTATCCTTGTTTTGTTAAATATTGAAGTAATCCATCATGTTTTGCTGAATTGAAAAATGTCTCTTACAAAAACATATTACACGTCATTGTCCTCTAATTATATAAAATGTAATTATAATTACAGTTTTTTACTTATTTTGTTGAATATTGAATCATCTTATTTTACACCTCATTACGTGTACAATCATATTTTTTTACATAACGGAACCGTGAACACTACTACTACTACTACTAGGTTTTGGAGCCCAGAAAATCCGCATTGGATGCAAGAAAAACATACCCAATGGCCGCAAAAAGTGAATGTTTGGGCTGGAATAGTAGGAAATCCTATACTGGGTCCTTTTCTTTGTGGGCAATTTGACAGTCGACATTTACTTGGATTTTTTGCGTTTTCAGCTGATTCCAGCTCTGGAATTAATTTTTCCTAACTCTAATGAGCACGATATTCTTGCTGGTGATATCTTCTGGTTACTACAATATGATGCCCCTCCAGATTTTTGCCTCGATGTAAGAAATTACCTTATCGATGGATAGGCAGAAGTGGGCTGCTTGAATGGCCACCACGCTCCCCTGACGTAACCCCACTAGATTTGTTTGTGGGGTTATCTAAAAAGCAAAGTGTATGTGAACAGACGAGACACTATTAAAGGATTGAAAAACCGTATCAGAGAAGTTCGAAATAAATGTTATTCAAAATGTAATTGATAACTTTGAACACCCAATTGGGCATTGTGGGGGCCAGTTAATGGGGGCCACTTCGAACATTTGCTGTAATATAATTAAAAGTAGTACTAAACTATTGTTTTCATTTAATTCTTCCATTTTTTGACAACTATTACAAATAAGTAGGTATAACCTTATATCGCTGAATTCGTCTTTAGAAGGCCTATTTATTTATATCATAAAATATAGAGCGTCCTATGCACAAAAAATGTCGGTAATGTTATAGGTCTGTCAAACATGGCTCTAAAAAATATTCAGCGATTTTTTTAAATTTCAAATGGAAAAAAATATGAATTTTGTTCTATCACATTAGGACACACTTTATACAACCAAACATTCAAAATGTGAATAGTTAAATATACAGAATTTAATTCTATTTTAAATTCTAAATATAGAAAACTACACTTTCAAACAAAGTCATTAAACTTGGAAAAATAATCCATACAAATTTTTATAAACCATATTAATATGAATGCGAATATTTTTAAAACAAGTATAAAAATAGGTGGGGAGTATACAAGAAGGGGACAAATTTGTATTAACATAGAATTGAAAATGTAAGTGTAGATTCAAACTGAGTTTGAGTATTAAGTGAATTAAAACAATTGTTACGTACGGAATACCTTAAAATGTCTACAGGGTGTTAAAAAAAGAGTGTAAAATATTACAGAAGGTAATATTATGAACCAAAATAAGCAGAAAAGTCTTAATAAACATGGGTCCGCAAAGTAACGGTTGCGGAGATATGGACCACTATTCGTTTTTCAAACATTTTATTTTATTAGGAATAAACCGACAAAGGAAGCTTTTAACAAACAAAAAACAAAGTTACAGAAGATGTTCAAAGTGCCCTCCGTCCATTTCCAAGCAGGCACGACATCTTCGTCTCAACGATATTCGAACTCTTTCGAAAACACCCTCCTTGGTTTGGATTTCTTGACACTTTTGATTAATCCGTAGCTGCAGCTCTTCCAGGCTATTTACAGGAGTACCATACACTAATGTCTTCAAATATCCCCAAACAAAGAAATCTAGAGGGTTCAGATCAGGCGATCTTGGAGGCCATAAAACAGGTCCGGCCCTTCCTACCCATCTATGTGGAAAAGTTTGGTGTAAATGCTCTCTAACGGCCATGGAAAAATGAGCTGGAGCACCATCATGCTGGAACCACATTTGTTGCCTCTGATTCAAAGGAATGTCTTCCAAAAACTCATACAGTGTGTTCTGCAGAAAGTTGAGGTAAGCAGCGCCTGTTAATCGGTTTGGTAAAACAACAGGACCTAGAAACCTGTCACCTACAATACCCATCCAAATGTTTAATGAAAACCGTGCCTAATGTCCAGATTCTATTAAAGCATGAGGATTTTTGTCGGCCCAAATATGCGTATTGTGAAAATTAAACACTCCATTTCTTGTGAACCCGGCCTCATCAGTAAAAAGAATGTTTGTAAGAAAACGAGGGTCTTCAGCATCATGACGTAGAAACCAGCGGCAAAAAACCAAACGCGTTTGATGATCATAATGAATTATAATATTGTATAATAATAATATTATATATAATATTAAATTAATTAGAAGTTAACCTTTATCAGGTATGTGTAAAATATTGAGGTAATTTTTCATATTGCGAATGTGTAATATCTTCTGCAAATCGTGAAGCACTAGAATCTGATGCATGTATCATATAATCTAGTTTTAAAATGCTGTGAGACATAAATACTTTTTATAACATTCCAAAAATATTTTTATTCATATGAATTGACCCACTCCAATATTATAAAAAATGGTGTCTACTTATTATCTTATCTTATATATCTATATATTATCTTTTTCCATTTCATATCCTGTATTTTATTATATTTTAAAAAGGGGCATCTTTCTCACAACTAGCGAACATCTTCCTCGGATACTTACAGAAACATATGTAGCTAAGTGCAATGCTTTTTATTTTACTTTTTTGGTCACTGCAAAAATCGAAAAGATATTTCGTTTAAGTTCGGAAGTTATTTAACAAGTTATTTTTGTATCTTACCACCTTAAGAGAACTGCAAGTTCTTATAATAAAGTTATCTTGCTCTATTTGGAAATATCAGAAGAAGTAAAAGTTTCCAAATTATACCCAGTTGAATCCCTTGGTGCCTTAGTGAATCGATATAAAGATGAAGCCACTGAATTTATACTCTCATTAAAAGTAGTTCCTAACAAATATATTTATTTATAGTTCAGTCGAATTAGAGCTTTGTTTTTACTGCCCATGAAAATCTAAACAACCTATCGGAAATTTAGTTATTTTATGTTGTAGGCAATTAAATTACCTGCAATTTAAGGCGCCTAAAATCATAGTTCACCAATTTGTTAACTATAAAATAAAGAACGAACGCGGAAAAATCAGTTTTCGAAAATTGCACATTATTATTGCAAAAAGCAGTGGATGTGGATGAAATTTAAGGAAAAGATGGTCAATTCAATATCCACTATTATTGGATTGACCGTGAGATTGTTGCTCCAGGTATTTGTTAATCAACCTCGTTCTTTTTTTTTCTAACTAAACGTTAATTATTAAATGTTAATATAGTAGATATATTAACGTCGGTGGAATCGCTTGGCACGCCATTGAATTGCGGCTCTCTTTGATAACCTCATTAATAAATTGCCCCAAGGTCAGGAAAAAGCTGCTCGGGAATTCGCTCTTTTTGAATTAAATAGGTACAGCTTATTTTTACCTTAATTTAAAAAAAAAAGAGAAATCACCTACACCTCTTTGTTTCCAAGATAGTAATTAACTATTGGTCGTATCGGACCGGGATTAAAATCCCGGTCTCTAAAGAGACAGTTAAAGAAAGGATTTAACTTTTATTTTTAAATAGTTTTACAATGATATTCACGTAATAAATAATAAACGCGCTAGCACGTACACGTAATTTTGCAACTTATTTGCAATTTGCCAACTTAGTGTCACTTCTTTCAAGTTAGTTTTTTGATATTATTTTTCTATAAGTGTTATAAAATGTCTACTAATAATGTTTTTAAGTTTTCAGGGTTTATGATCTAATTTGATTGAAGTACTATGAGATTCACATATTTTAACATTAAACGAATTAATATGGTGACCCTATTATGTACATCTTTTGTTATCTTTCGTCGTTAAGGGAGTTTTAAAAGGTACAAACAAGGAAAAGAGTTACTTTACACAATGAAACGATGCCAATTTGTTGGTTAATTAAAAATCCAAACGAATTAGTTAAAGCACTTCTCTTGTACAAGCAGTAAATTAAACAAGCGCTAAAAGTAGCTCTATAAATTTTAATAAACAACTAGCAAATACCTTTTAACAATTGCTTTTTCGTTTTGTTCTAGATTCCTCGGATTTCTCCACTGTGATTTAGAGGAAGACTTAAAATAATGCTCCTAAAATTATTTTATTAAACAAAACAGAACTAGTGCGTTATAAAATGACTATGTAAATACATACGAGTTAAAAAGTGTTTCGTTACGGACCTGGCTGCGGTGTATGTGTATAAAAAGTTTTCGATGCCTGCTACTGCAATGTTCTCAAAGTTCAAAAGCAGCGGCGGTGCTCAAAGTCCCTTAGAAACGAACCCTATTGGACAATTTTTCGAAATTGGAAAGCAAATCGCTAGTGCCGGACCTGAGTTGGTGTGGAGGATCCACGACGCGTACAGGAAAAGCGACGGGAAGGTAAGATTTTTTTTATGTTCGTAATGTTTTATGGGGTCCTTCACTGGAGTTATCCTCTTTGGCATATTGAGATATAAGAAGTCTTGCAAAGTGCTAAAATATATGTCTCAAGTCTCGGGTGACTTTTTCTTATTTAAATATACAGGGTGTGGCGTGTATAATCTATAAAAATTAAACTGGAAGCTGTATCCTGAAGATATTTGGAATAGAAAACTCTTATACGAAAAAGTTATATATTCGCGTTTTTTTTTTTGTAAATTAAAGTACATTTATTCAACGAAAATGAAGACCGACCCTGTGTTATTTATTAAAAACTTTGAAAATGTTTTTATCCGACCCGAGATGCAACCTTATAATTTAAGTCGGTATAATCTAATACTTGTAATACTAAAAGGTTAGGTTACATTGTCAAAAAATGTGTGCAACTAACTGATTTCGTATTTATATTGAATTTATTATTCACTTAATTACTAAATATTAAGAATCGTCCATCAACCCAACAGTGTTAAAAAGTGAAAAATTCCAGATAAAAGTTTTTATTTTGTAATTCCATGATAGTGACAGTGTAATTTTTATAAAGAAGTAAAAAATAAGAATAGGGTGCGATTACATTAAAAACAAGATTCTTATTTCTTACTTTGCTTAATTTTTTAGTTTCTGCACAAACTAGTTTTACAATGAACCGAGAAAACAATGCATTTACTATTTCCGAACGCGTCGATATGGTGTTAGTGTATGGTGCAGCCGGAGAAAATGCGCTCGCGGCGACTAGATTGTACCGGGAACAATGGCCACAACGTCACCCTCCCATGTGCAAATACAATTCTACAGTGCGTTCAGGGGCTGCGAGATACAGGAAGTGTTATTCCTCGAGGAGAAGGACATGGTCAGCAAGAGAACCTTAATGTTGAAGATGCAGTGTTGGAAAATCTTGACGAAGGCCCCACAATTAGTACTCGACGACTCGCACAGCAAGTAGGAACCTCATCTCGTATCGTACATCGCATCTTACGGCGTCAGCTGTTGCATCCCTATCAACTGCAACCAGTTCAACAGATTTTACCCCCGAATTGTGATCAACGATTGCGTTTTTGCATATGGTTTTTACGGCAATGTGCCAATCAAGTAGACTTTTTTACTTATGTTTGTGTTACAGATGAGGCGACATTTACCCGTGATGAAGTGAATTTCCATAATATGCACATATGGGCCGATAAAAATGCTCACGCGATTAGGGAAACTCATTTTCAACATTGGTCCCATTTCTTTGAAGGACGACTAAATGTACCAACATATGCTGACTTTTTGGAGAATCGGTTGCCTGAATTATTGGATGAAGTAGCATTACAAGTTCGGACACGCATGTTTTATCTTCAGGATGGGGCTCCTGCTCCACACAGTACTCGAGAAGTAATGACACTTTTGAATTAAATGTTTCCTCGGCGATGGATTGGACGCTTTGGTCCTGTGCCGTGGCCACCTCGGTCACCAGATCTAACTCCAATGGCTACGGTGGAAGAATTGTGAAACCGTATACTTGAAGCTGCTGACACAATTAGGGGAATACCTGGACTATGGGAAAATATTCACCAAAATTGGGTGCGTTGGTGCCAAGCCTGTATCCGCGCTAATGGGGATCAATTTCAACATTTTCTCTAGAAAAGTTTTATTTCATTTTGTTCCATATTTAATGGAGTTTGTTTAGTGCACGCAGTTGGCAACTACAGATGCTTACGGATGTGGTTTTGTTTGCGAACTCTTGCAGTAACAAAAATGCATTTAAGATAGTAATTACTATTAATTTTATTATAATAAGAAAATATTATACAAGCCACACCCTGTATATTAAAAGGTTTGTTCTCAACGTAATTTAAATTATTTTATCTCAGTGGTCGTAGCCTTTGCTTGCCATTACTAAAATCCTTGTAAATTCAAGAGATTAAAGATTCCTTAATCTTCATTCATTATTTTTATACAAGGTGGTGTTCTACATACGCCTCGGTTTGTGTAGTGAAAACTATTACACTTTCATAAAAAAAATTAACATGCAAATTGACTGCAAATTTTAATAATATTTGCAATTATATTAGATTTACACTTTGTCATTTTTTATTACGTACCTGACTGAATCTTTTAAACATATACTCAGATTTGTTCCAAATTACAACATATAAAGGGGAGTTTTAAGATCATAATAGTAATAACAAACGTGGTCATAAATATATAATAACTTTACAAGTTATGGATACCTCGTTCTCTTAATACCCGACGAAAGGCTGAGTGGGTATATTAAATAATACATATCTAGGTCAAATTTACAAAGACAAGACCCTCGTAGATCAGACTTCTGGCGAATTACGCCTACGTTCGGATCCCAATCATAAAGATGTTTGGAAATTTGAGGTTTATATATGTTTTAACTAGTTGCTTCATAAAATACCAGTAAATGTTTTTAATATCGATGTAATACACATTTTTAAAAATAATAAAGATGTCTATGATTTCTATTATTAAAAGTAAAAGTGTACTAAAATAATAATTATAAAGGAACGTGCTTTAATAAAGCAAAAAATAATTAAGATTACAAAATATTTACAAAAGTAGGAAATTGAAAAATATAAGGCCTGTTTCTTTCACCTTGTAATAAATTGATTTACTTTTCACTTAAGTGATATAGCTTGTTTCTAGAAAACTAGGAAACGGAATAGGAAAACAACTTCATATCACTCAAGGATGAAATAAGCAGGCCTAAATCGTCCGCTTTTTGATCCTATTTAGTACTCTTCTATTCTGCAAAGGTAGAATAGTAAATGTGCCTTGTATAAATGAAGCAAACAAATGGAAGTGCAAAGTTTATTAATATTAATATTTAATTTTATTATTATTATAACAATAATTTGCTTTAAATTAATAACAAAAAACATTTACAACCGTCTTCAAAAACGAGAGTACAATTTGAGAAGGAACGCTTAACAGTAACACCAGAAAAACTACCTAAATTTTCTTTGCCATCGAATAAATGTTGTCCATTTGCCCTCACAATCAATTCAGAAAAATGTCATCACTAGTTCTTTTGACTCCTACTATTAAACGAGATATTTTATTCCTGGACATTATGATATCTTCTACATATTCTGATGCTACAGTATCACTCTTCCATTTTCCATGTCTTTTCAATGTTATCATTTGTGCACCTGCATCTACGAGAAGAGTTGCCGATGTACGATGCAAACTATGACAGAAAAAAACCGCCGTTCTTTAACGTCTTTTGGTCGCAAAGAAATACTGTCGATACAATTGGAAATCGTGCATTTCATTTTCTTCCACAATAGTAAAAGATTTTGGTACTCCAGTTTTTGTATCGTTAATTTTTACTACAACAACGATTCCGTTGTCATCTATATCATCTATCGAGAGCTTTACCAACTCCCAAACACCCATTACTAGAACAACCTACAATAACAAAAACCTATTAAGCATATGCAATAATACAGCTAATTATTTTCTATACTATAAAGTAATTTAGATTTCTTAGGCAGTAATTCTTCCTTTTCTTTATTGGCTATAGCAGCAAACGATTGCTGGAATATTATCCATTCTGCCTTTTCAATATGTCTCCTCAATATCAAAGATCAAACTATCAAATGCAACAAATTTCTTGGATATATCGTTTATATATTGAAAAACAGTTTTCATTCTCATTTCTCATTATTAAATTTAAATTAAATATAAAATTAGATGTCTAAGTAAAAAATAAAACGTTGTATGCACCATGGGAGATACTAGGATGATTATGCCCTTAGGCGACTTGCGACCAATCTGTCGCCTGCGGGCATAATATTCATCCCTGTATCTCCCTTGATACATAAATAACTATTACCAGTTAAGGCTATATCTGTCAAAAACGCATATGCATAAAAACTGACATGTATGGATTTAGCTGAAAATTAAACTTTTGTGACAGTTGACAAACGTCCCAAGTGATTAGAACAATGTTTACCCATTAGCCGCCAATGACTCATTTTGTTTACAAAAATTACGATTTCCCGCCACAAATAATTTCAAATGACAATTTCATATTCCATCCCGTAAAACAGCGAATTTTGCGACTGTGAAAAGTTACCTTCAAGACCCGTACAGTTTTCTTGATTCGCCAACTTGACAAATCAGTTTGTCGTCGAAAACGGTATCGATTAAATCAAGAATAACTTAAAAAACAAATCGTCGGCAAACAGTAAATATTTACAACGGGAGATAACTTTCAGTATTTTGAAATTAAAATCAAATAATTTTTCTGTATCGAAAAATGTTTCGAAACAAAATCGGATGCATTCAAAATCAGTTCAAAAACAATCCAATAATGAAACATACATATTCATACCAAATAAAATGCATCCACGGACAGTAAACTAGGGTTGTCAGATAAATGAATTCAAGGAACTGTGAAATTGCATAACACATATTTTTGGTAATAAAATTTATTTCCTGCCCTACACACATATTCATACGAGTTTGCGTGACTTCTATGGATATGTAGATTTGGAGCAATATGGACTATATGGAAATATGAAAAAAACCGTTTTTTTTTATTACAAATTATTTCGTAAAAACTGTTCCTAGTTTTATTCAAGCTACCACAGTTTAATAATCTTATACGGGATGTAACTGAGGGTCAGGTTTTTTGGGGTAATAGTACATATTACACATAATACTAATCTGAAATACTTTTTTATTTTAATCTAATAAATAGTAGATTTAAAATTCGATTTTTAAATTCCATTCCATTCTAGTACGGACACAGCAAATTAAACTGCATGGTCTTTATGTTCAAGTTATTTAGGGTCGGTTTATAAGATTTGTAAAGCAATTTATTTCACTGTTTAGTATATATATTCATTTTATAGTCTGCCTTTTTCCAATATAATCGCAGAAAACTGTATAGGTTGGTTTGTTATCCTGTAAATATAACATAGAGTGGTACAAACAAAAGAAGTACTTCC